TTTAATCATGAGTCGTAAGACGAATTACATTAATAAATAAGGCAAAGTTGAACATGAGGTAGATGACTCTTTTCACAATGGAATAAAGAATGATGAAGTAAGGCATTACGTGGGTTGTTCCTTAATAATATTATCATGGACTTGTTCTTAACATTTGAATTAAGACGTACTGTCTGGTTACACACAGTTCAATTAACTGAGACATTTTGATGGATGAGCTATGGTGCATTAACATGTTATATCTCCGTAGAGTTTTATGTGGAACACAATTATGCAAGACAAAACATGTGGTGGTGGTCATGGCTCATCCTCAGGTCTCAACGATTAAACATGGAACATATATTTTGTTTAAACTAGCATCCAGAAGAAACTACAAATTCTGTTGTCTTTTTTTTGGATTCATATTTAAAGAACAAACACGGATACTTCAGTTTTGGAACAAGTTAGCCACATTCTCCTTAACGACAAGTCATCCTAATCCAATATAATGGAAATTCCTTATTGCAATCAAGTCCCTAACATCCTCTTCAACTTTCCTCCGTCCCTTTGTTTGCTTGATTTTTTTTAACAATAAATAAGGATACGATGCTTAAATAAGATTTTAGAGTTCAAAATCTCATGTCTCTCTCTCTTACAAGCAATATTGAGGGACGAGGAATCAAATCTAGAACTTTGGATGTAAGGATAAATGTTTTTAACCACCTGAGTTACAAACCTCTTGCAGTTTAAAATCTCATCTTAAATACAACGTTATTTACAAATCCTAAGCCATCATCTTGTCAAAACCTTAATCTCATCTTCCAAACTCATCCCTCTAACATTCACACATTTTCGTCCGTCTCTTTGTTTTTGATTTTTTTTAACAATAAATAAGGATACGACGCTTAGATAAGATTTTAGAGTTCAAAATCTAATGTCTCTCTCTCTTACAAGCAATATTGAGGGACGAGGAATCGAATCTAGAACTTTGGATGTAAGGATAAATGTTTTTAACCATCTGAGTTACAAACCTCTTGCAGTTTAAAATCTCATCTTAAATATAACGTTATTTACAAATCCTAAGCCATCATCTTGTCAAAACCTTAATCTCATCTTCCAAACTCATCCCTCTAACATTCACACACAGAAAATTTCATATCTCAAGTTGTAGAATAAAAGACAACCATGATCATATCTTATCTTGATCAATATATATTGTCAAGGCACATATAATTTACAAGAACTTAATTAATTTAATTAATTACCAAGTAGTCTTAATTACGTGTTTAATTAATATTGTGTGGCGGATCATGCACACCACACTCAAATAATGGTGAGAAGAGAAGTAATAAAAGTCAACCATGATCATATATTATCTTGATCAATATATATTCTCAAGACACATATAATTTATAAGAACTTAATTAATTTAATTAATTAACAAGTAGTCTTAATTACGTGTTTAATTAATATTGTGTGGCGGATCATGCACACCACACTCAAATAATGGTGAGAAGAGAAGTTAGAATATCCTAAAGCATCTACGTTTTTAGGGTTTAGTTAACTTTAAATTGTCCGTAGTATGGAAGTCGTACGTATATATCAACTTCAATGAAAGCTCCACCGCCAGCATGTGACACTGGTTCATCCACTATTGGCTACCATGATTAAACGAAACCCCATCATTAGGTTTGGATATATAATATATAGCTTTAATTGAGAGATTGCTTAAATAATCTAATTTGAAGAACAATTTATGAAGTTCATTACGAATTTTATTTTAACGATCTGAAATGAACTGTCTATACACAAAAAAAGATCAACATGATTATTTGTGGAGTCTATTATGAATTTTACTTTAACGATTTGAACCGTCTATACACAGAAAATGTATCATTGCCTAGTTCGGATGGTATTTTGTGCAATTTACACCAAAAACCTCTTGTAGGCCCCCTTGAGCTTTATGTTATATAGATGAAGTCAAAAGGGCCAAATTAACGAACAATCATTAGAGAAAAATCAGTCTTAGGGTCGTCTAAACCAAATTAAAGGGAATGAACTGGAAGCATGCTTGTTGTAGTTTCCTTTGAACGTGTTTCCTGAATCCTGGCACGACCAAAATATAGATGTATTATATATATATATAGGTCGGCAAGTTGTTCCATGCATTTGGGTTTGGCGAAAGAAAGAGACATGAGTTAGAGAGTGACCCGTGATCATGTGAGGCTGATTTTCTTGGTTTTATTGAGAAAAATACATCGCATATTTTCATACACTGTGCAGGTTAGTTCTTTCATCTATATTTGAAAAGGTAGGCTGCCCGCCACCCCCAATCTTTTTCTTCTTTTCTCTCTTTCAGGATAGAAATGAGTGCTATTTTGAATATACATGTGGCACATTTTTAGTAGAATCATACACCCATAAATAAAACTTCTCGATAACTTGGCATAAGGTGGGTGAAATACAATTTGCATCCTTGAATTTTTATTCCTTAGCTTTCAAATGTTGAAATATGTCCCAAATTCAAATATCTCATTTTCCGTTTTTAAAAAATAAACCTTTCAAAATGTTACAAATGAGGGCATCTTGAAATAAAGTGTTTTTTTTTTTTTTCATTCAACATTAGTCTATGAGATTTGAACTTGGAATCTCCTTCAATAAAGTGAAAATTTTAGTGCCACCGAACGAAAAAGATTTACTTCAATTTAAGTATTGCCACTTTTTATAATTATCATTAAAGGGAAATAGTACCCTTTTTTCAAAAAGGAGGTCAATTTAGTAAACACGCATTTACCAAAATCTAAATTGTTCATTTGCTCATTAATGCACCATTTTTTTAACTGAAATATTTTTTGATTGGACATAGAGCTTGTTTGGGAGCGATTCTAGGAGGACTAGAATCGCTTATGGGGAGAAGCACTTCTCCATATAATCACTTTAAAGTGATTTTAAGCTATTTTATGAAGGTGGATGTGCCTCTCCATAAAATAACTTAAAGTGATTATACAGAGAAGTGATTCTCCATAAAAAGGATTGTTGATTTATCCAAAATAACTCCCAAACGAGCTCATAAATTACAATAAAATCATAATTCCTAAGAAAACTCAAAAGGTTTGATGAGAATGTTGTACCACGTTATAATGTTAACATGATATGCCACATACATAAAATAAAAGGTAAGATAATCAGGAATGTTAATAGAGTAACCAATGGTCATACCACATCAACACAATAGCGTGGTATGACAATCTATACAAATTTAGGATGGTGTATTCAATTTGGACTTTAAGGGATTCTAAATGACTTTAAAAATTAAGGAGTATTCAATTAGGTTTTTAAAGGAGTATATAAAAATCCGGGTGTATTTAACTAGCCAGATATTGAGTTGATATAATTACAGTTTAGTACCCTGTACTTACACCCTTAAGGCATGTTAGTCCCCGTCTTTTCAATTTTTACAATCGCATACCCCGATCTTTTAAATTTGTTACAATGTAGCTCCGCCGTTAGTGTTTCTGTCAAATCTCTCCGTTAATTGCCTACGTGGCACTGTGGGTCCCACATTATTTATTTTTTAAAATTTAAATTGATTAAAATATGAATAAAATATTATTTTTTTAGGAAAAGTTAAAAAGAGAAGAAAAAAAAATATTGGGACCCATTGACTCAAAACCAGCGGCCCCTTCGATCCTTTCTCCCCCCCCCCCAACCCTAACCACAGCCCCCACGAACCCAGAACCCCAGTGCCCCCCACCCTCTACCCCAGCCCGCAACAACAGAAAAGAGAAAAAAAAAAATCATCCACCCCCCAACGAACCCAGAACCCCAACAAAGCCCCCACCCCAAATCGGTGAAATATGGAGCCAAGCTCGGCTTGAATTGGGTCCCGCTCTTTCTTCTTCTTAGACTTGTTAAGCTTGCCGTCAAGCTCTGAGGGCCTTCCCCTGTAAACCCTGTCACCGATGCTTTTGGGATCGATCTTGCCCCAAAGAGACTCAGGCACGCTGTTGGGCTCGGGACTGTCATGCGACCCTGCACCCCCGACCATGTTCTGCGCCATGAATCTTATGTATCTCTCTGCAAATTAACCACTACAGAACAAAAACCTCAGAAACCTAATTGGAAAAAGACAAAGAAAAAAAAAACCCACAAGAAGAGTATAGGGTTTTAGGATTTTTTTTTTGTTGAATTGTAAAATTTGACTCCAAAGAGAACAATTAGAAATTGGCCTGCGGAGATAGAACAAAGTGTAGGTTCTGGTTCAAGTTTGATGAGGTTTGGCCTGCGGAGCTTGATTTTTTTTTTTTTCCCTCTTTTCTGTTGTTGCTGGCTGGGGTGGAGGGTGGGGGCGCTGGGGTTCTGGGTTCGTGGGGGTTGTGGTTACGGGCTGGGGTGGAGGGTGGTTGTGGTATGGGTTTGAAGGTTGGAGCTTGCGTGGTGGTCATGGGGAATGGGGGGAGAACATATCGGTGGGGGAGAGGGAGAGCGCAGAGGGGAAAGAGAGGTGGGGGAGAGGGAGAGCGCAGAGGGGAAAGAGAGAGAGAGAGAGCGATTGTTTTTTTAATTTTTTAATTTTTTATTTAAAAAATAAATAATTTATTCATAGTTTAATCAATTTAAAATTTAAAAAATTAAAAAATATGGGACCCACAATGCCACGTAAGCAACTAACGGAGAGATTTGACGGAAACCCTAACGGCGGAACCACATTGCAAAAAATTTACAAACTAAGGGTACCTGATTGTTAAAATTGAAAAGATAGGGACTAACATGCCTTAAGGGTGTAAGTACAGGGTACTAAATTGTAATTAACCCTAATCTCTATGTCCATATTTCCAATTTGCAAAATGGTGACATGCATGGAAGTAAAAACGAAAATATACTTAAACTGGATAAGCAGACCAGCTGTCACTGGCAAAGTGAAAGGCAACGAAACTGGCCGCAATGCACTTCCACAATCAAAGTCAATAATCACCAAATCCGTCACGAAATTTGCACCCGAAATTGCCAAACTCTTTTCACACTCAAACAACAACATCAAAACCATCAAAATTGGCTTAGGCTCTGTTCTCTTATGTTACGCCTTGGATATACCGTTCGAACACGTGTCCATCTGGATAGCCCCCCACGTGTCACATACAACCCGCGAGGGAGTTGTCCAAAACGATAAATCCACGGGCATGATATTGATGATGACATATTTTTGTGTATATATATATATATACGAGGAAGAAGAACCATTGTTGCTTCAAATTCTTCTGGTGAGGTTTTTTTATTTATTGTCTCTGCAGATTCGAGTAGGTAGGAACAATAAACATGGCGGTTGTCGAAGGCCGGCTGGGAGGGTTTCTCATTGTTTTGACAATAATGGGCTTGGCTTTGCCGGTGTTCTTTATTGCACCGGTCCAGGGGTATAACCGTCCACCGCCGCGCAAAAACCTCTATGTCCCTTCTGATGATCCTGGTTCTGATTCTCCACAACAGGTACTCTGAATTATATATGTTCTGTTCTTTTCTTCGTAAAATTGTTTCTTCATTTTTGTGAAAGTTATTTTATTTTTTTTGTTGGGGGCACTTGAAAGCCAAATTATGGCCTTAATTAGATAGTGGTAATTAGAGAGATGAGTTGATGATTAAGTCGTTGGGTGAGATTAGCTTAGTCCAAGATGGATTACCAGACGAAATTGTTTTTTCTTTACTTACTTACCAACCACAATAAATTAACCGAAATCTCTTGAATTCCTAGTTTTTCTCTTGAACAAATGTTTTCTCTTTAGTCAAATGAATGGGGACAAATGGGAACTGAAAGGGAAAATGAATGGGGACAAACATCTGTGACACAAGAGGCCAAATAAGAGATATTGATATATATAAGATTTACCCTCATATTGTTTTTTATTTTTTTTTAAATTATTATTACTTGGTACAGTGAGATCTGAGTTTGAAATACACTCTCGCGAAGTAAAGAGTAGTATCACTAGACCAAATAATCATTTTTCGGAGATTGAAATGACCCTAATTTTGTTTTTCGGTCACCTGAACTTACGCATTAATTTCAATTTGTCATCTTAAAGAAAGATTTAAGCAAAATATCACCTTAAATTTTCAAAATCCATTATTTGTCACTTGACTATAACATCATCCAATTTTTCTTTCATTTTGAAAGGTATTTTAGTCTTTCCAATATCTAAAGTAGTGCTGCAACCTTCCCAAATTTGGAGTTTGGGGATCTTGAAATAGAGTCTGAAAATTCTCTTCAAAATGGAAATACTAAAATACCCTAAAAATGTATGGAAAATTGGATGATGTTATAGTCAGGTGACAAATCATGAATTTTGGAAACTTAAGGTGACATTTTGCTTAAATTTTTCTTTAAGATGACAAATTAAAACTGATGTATAAGTTCAGGTGACATTTCTACAAATATCCCATCTTTAAATTTACAAATACCAAGTCAATTTGAGAGTTTTATTGATTTGAAATGGGTTTAAAATGAACATAGTTGTTTATGTGCTGGCGCAGGTGCATATATCTACAGTAGGTGCAGACAAAATGAGAGTATCCTGGATCACCGACAGTCCAAGTCCAGCAACAGTGGAATATGGCACATCTCCTGGTGCATATGAGAAGTCGGCAACTGGGTCGACAAGTTCATACAAGTATTTGATGTACGAGTCTGGGGAAATCCATGACGTGGTCATCGGTCCCTTGGAACCCAACACAGTATACTACTACCGCTGCGGATCCAATTCGGGTCCTGAGTTCAGTTTCAAAACCCCTCCTGCATCTTTCCCTGTCACATTTGCAGTCGTAGGTATGTAATAACACGTTAATAGGTTAATTTTTGATTGAATGTGCGGTTCAAATTTGTAATATCGTGATATAAGTATATGCGTCGCTCGCGATATAAGACTGCAAATGTTTTTTTAGTCATAGATCCTACTATCACGTTAATTAGGCAATCAGTAAATTTGGTCCAAATTGTTAAATTTTGTTACCCTAATACAATACACATATTTTCTATATATGTAAATTTTTCTCTTCAAAAAAGAAAATTAATAATGTGCATTTTTTGCAGGTGATCTTGGGCAAACTGAATGGACCAAATCAACCCTCGATCACATATCCAAAGCAAACTACGACATGTTATTACTACCAGGAGACTTATCCTATGCAGACTTCGACCAACCTTTATGGGACTCATTTGGGCGTCTGGTGCAGCCCTTGGCAAGCCAGCGGCCTTGGATGGTGACACAAGGCAATCACGAAATCGAGAAAATCCCCGTCCTACACTCGTCTGCCTTCACTGCGTACAATGCAAGGTGGCACATGCCGTACGAAGAGAGTGTTTCGGATTCGAACCTCTACTACTCATTCGATGTGGCTGGAGTTCATGTGATCATGTTGGGGTCGTACACTGATTTTGATCCTAGTTCTGCCCAGTACCAGTGGTTGCAAGTAGATTTGGGGAAGGTGGATAGGGGAAGGACCCCGTGGATCGTTGTGCTTATCCATGCTCCTTGGTACAATTCTAACAAGGCTCACCAGGGTGAATCTGAATCTATTAACATGAAGGACGCCATGGAAGATCTGCTCTATCAAGCTCGCGTTGATGTTGTTTATGCTGGCCATGTACATGCATATGAGCGTTTTGTAAGTTTTCTTCAAATTTTTCGAGTTTATAATTTACGAGAAAATGCTAGATAGATCGCATTAGACATTATTAAGGTGTCAATGCTAAAATCACAAGATCATCAAACATAACAAAAATGTAATTCACAAATAGATCCTACATTTTAACATGATCCCTTTACCATTACTCGAATAAACATATTAACTTATTCAGAACATGTCTCTTTATGTAAATATCATATCGTTTGTCAAAAAATGTATCGGTTTGGGATTACTTTCGATTACTTGATTTAGTTTAATTTGTTATTAATGGTCTCATCTAATTATTCCATTGTTCTATTTTAGACCCGCGTTTACAAGGATGAAGCCAATAATTGTGGTCCAGTGCATATTACCATTGGAGATGGTGGCAACCGTGAAGGTCTTGCGAGCAAGTAAGTTGGTTTAATTTCTTAGTTACTTGTTAATTAATCATTTTATTATTAAATTTCTGCCGATTTATACATATAATTTTTTTTCTTTCTCTTTTATATATTTATAGGTATAAGAATCCGCAACCCAAAATATCGGTTTTCAGGGAGGCCAGCTTTGGGCACGGGCAGTTAGTGGTGGCAAATGCAACTCATGCGCGGTGGACATGGCATAGGAATGAAGATAGTGATGAGGCAGTTGCCAGTGACTCCATTTGGCTCACAAGCCTCTCCTCTGATCCTGCCTGCAAAAATTAAAATTCCAATATTAAATTGCATAATATTCATACTATATGTTCCTTCCAATCCAATTAAAATAATCAAATGAAAAAGAAAATGAAATTTCTTTATTCAAAGGTCTAGTAGCTTTTATTTATTTATTTTAATTTTCAGTTTTATGTAATCAATTTTACACTTTTTCTTAAAAAAATTCTTTATATAAAATTAAAAATGTAATTTGAAAAGGAAAAAAACACCTAAGCCCAAGTATCTTATAATGAGGGCCAAATAAAATTCTTTTGGGTAATGAGTGCACGGATCAAATCTTTAGAAGCATTTAGAAAGGCCAAAGTTATAAATAAGCAAAATGCTTTCCCTGTCAGGGTAAGCCCAACAAGCCCGACCCAATTTCTTACATTAGGGCAAGTCCAACCCTCAAACTACGACTTTGCTCATGTCCACTCCTTTGCTTAAACATTTCTTATCATGTTGCAGATGAATCAGTCCAACACCAAAAATCCCAAAATCTTTTGCAATGAAACTGGGCATGTTGGATTGTCAATACGGTCTAGCCTAGTAGCAAATGTCTTGATTTGCGTATCACTGATTTCATGTTCGAATTCTCATGATACATTAGCAATATGCCAGTATGTGTGAGAAAAACCCCCCTCCTCTTCCGTTTTAACTTTGAAGAAAAGCAAACAAACTGGGCATGTTGGATTGGACAATTAAATTAAATTAAATGTGGCAATTTGATCATGACTGTGTGGAAGAAAGGATCAGCAGTTGACTTCAGTGACAGTGAAGCAAACAAAAATTTCAACCAAAATCCATCCCCATATGATATCCCCAAGAAAAAAAAATGATCAGATTCGCATAGTAATGAAAAACCCAGTTGAAAATGCTGATAGAGTCGTCATTTTCTGTCCTATCAATGCAATTGGGTATGAGTTTTCACTTTGCAATAATAGTCTGCCATATTAACATGCCTCCTACAATTTGAGCACCATTCTTTTGGATTCATAACGATGTTTTTTAAAAGCAAAAAGAATTAAAGAAAAGTCAAATGTGGTTATAATTTTCTTGCTTAGGAAAACTGTAGGTCTGATGTGAAGTTGTAGTTTCGTCCACCAGAGTGAATAATAATTTGTGTTAGTATTTGTTGGATAAACCATCATTTTGTGAGATAGGTTTACACTTGATCATGGACCCTCTTTGGGTTGTGGCAGTTTAATTAGTCCACGGATGGAGATGATTTTGTTCAGTTAATGATACGTCTTTCCAACTAAAGTTGGTGGCTTTACCAAATCAACTTCAGCATCACTTTTTACATAAAATTAAAAAAAAAAAAAAAAGACCTTTATAATTTGGAGAAACTATTTCATATTTTATGTTATATGTCCTCATTTTGCCTTCAATTTTTCTGTTATATGAGAGAACTTTTGTAGCTCAAGTGTTCATTATTATTTTTTCGATTCGTTCTTATCTATAGATAACGCAACATATAATTTATGACTCCATGGATGGAGGGGGATTCGAACTCCCTATACTCCTATCAACACATATGTTTCCCAAACTGACTCTTTCAATCGCTCAGACATCCATCCTCTTCGGACTTCGCTCGCCCTATCTATACGCACTGGTATATAGGGCCTTATTTATGTGATTTGCTACACTTACTTGCACATATCGCTTTCATCCACTCCGGATCGCTTGACTTCAAGCTCAAATCACTTTCCCGCGCGATTCAGGTTCTCGGTGGATTCCCGAGTTTGAACTTACCCTTTCCCATTTAATCTTCTTTTTGGTGACAACATTTTTGCTGAAGTACTGAATGGTACTACTGTTACTCTTTTTGCTTTGCTTTTCATTGCTTTTTGGGTTAGAGATTACTCCTTAAACATAACTATTTTGGTCATAAAAATAGAAACTACGTGAGATCCACTTATCTAAGTGGGTTCCACCAAAATGGAACCTACACTAGGTAGGTATCCACTGATAAACGAGGGTTTAACCAGGGTTGGTCCTATTGTTTTTGGGGCCTAAACGCTAGAAGTAGACTATGTTATGTGGACTTCCACATTCACATAATATGGTCTATTCTAAGAATTTTAAAGAGTACTCTGAGGCTGAGATTTTTTGGAATATTTTATTTGAAATTAGATGAGATGTTATTTGCACTTCAAAATGAGTTTCTTTTACTTCTCATATATCTTCTTACATTAAAAAACATCTTTTACTCCCGTTATTTCTGATTACGAGTTTCACCTGCATTTTTGTTATAGTAAAAAACACAATCTCACTCCCGTCATTTCTGATTACAAGTTTCGCCTGTACAAAAGATATAATTAACATCAAATTCACAATCTCTAATTCATGTTTCAGCTAGAAATAAAACAATGCTTTTCAACAAGCATCCAATTAGAACTGAGAATGGGTTGGAACAGGATTCAGATTGCAAATACTCTAGTCCCCACCTATGGGGCTATAAGCCTATAACCGTGTGAGAACTCATTAGGGGATTTAATTAGTGATCTATAGATTCAGGCCAGAACCCAGAAGACAGAAAAGAAAAAAAAACACAGGGTTGTCGACGATCTTCTCTTACACGTGTGGTCCCAAAAGAAAAGAAAAAACAAATTACCACCCTAAAAGTTGAAATTATCAAACCCCTTCCTTAGCTCACGTGTAGGGTTCAATGCACTTACTAACCATAATAATGTAGAATTTCATCATTAGCCATGCAGGAATTGGAATTATGTGAAATCATTAAAAACGACCTCAGAAAAAAAAAGAAGAAAGTTGGTCTTTAAAGGCTTTGCCATGTTGATGAGGTCATATCCACGAGCTCTTTCAAATTAAATCCCAACTCCCATTACCCGTAGATCAGATAAGAACACAAACCAACCCATGATTAAAGGGATTAATTTGGGCAAATTATGAAAATCTCCAACTTTTCACGTGTCTTAAATCAATGCCATATCCGCAAATGCGGGTTATGCTGGTTGGTCAAGACCGCTCTTGTATCTGAATTCAATCCCCTTTTCTGTACATTAGAATAGTTTAGCATTTCGCTTTTGCCGAAAATAAAGAAATCAATGCCATCCAATAAAATTGCAGGGGTCAGCTGTCTAAATTTCACCAGGGGTGAGGTAATCATAAGTTTTGTTTGGGTAAAATTAGGGCACTGTGCATACTGGTAATTATAGGCAATGTGCATGATGATGGGGGTTCATGAATGCCTGTTATCTGTGAACCATGCAAAATCTCTTGAGCACTGCCATAGGCATTTATGTAAGCAAACAAAACCCCTAACCCAATTGAATCATGAAACCCCGTTCTTCAATTTCCTCTCTGGTTGATTTTTTATTTCTTTTTTTGAATTGGTATTAAAAGGGTGGCTCCAATTTGCTGCAAAAAGTAAGACGGTTATTTAAGATGGGTTTGAATTGAAGGGAAGGATTATTACAAAGGGGAAGAGAACCATTATTGTTGGGGATGGCCATCATTGGTTGTTTCAGACCTAAGATTTATAAGGCTGGGATTCTCTACACACTTAGTCAAATTGAGTCCACTCTTTGCAGGCCTCTGCAGAGCACCCTTTTGCCCCTATGCTTTGGTTGACCGGATCATAGTTTGAATGACGGATGGATTTGACCCGGCACATCACATGTAGTGAAAAAAACTTACATGTAACGGGGATAGTAACGTTTTGTTATCCCAAACCAATAACACAATGACACGTGAAAAAATTATCCTATATTTGGGGGGTTTTATTTTATTTTTTATATTTAAATATGGCTTAAGAT